TCATCCCAGGGATGCAGGGATGGTTCAACATATGCAAATCAATAAATGTAATCAACTATATGATCCTCCCAATAGATGGAGAAAAAGTGTTTGACAAGGCCCTACACCCACGCATGATAAAAACCCTACAGAAATTGGTATAGATGGTCTTTTTCTCAATCTGATAAAAGCCATCTACAACAAACCAACAGCCAACATCATACAAAATGGTGAAAACCTGAAAGCTTTCATTCTAAAAACAGGAACAAGACAAGGATGTCCACTATCACCACTCCTGTTCAATATGGTTCTGGAAACACGAGCCAGAGAACTTAGACAAGAGAAAGAAGTAAAAGGAATAAGGACAGGAAAGGAAGTTAAATTATTATTTGCGGATGACATGATACTTTACATAGAAGACCCAAAAAACTCCACCAAAAGACTTTTTGATAGCCCAAAATTTGACAACCAAATTCAGTGGCAAAGCTGGATACAAAGTCAACACTCAAAAGTCAATAGCGTTCTTGTATATGAATAACAGACTCATGGAGAGAGATATTAGAGAAACAATACTTTTCACAATAGCATCCAAACAAATGAAATACCGAGGAATCAATCTAAAGAAGGAAGCAAAAGACCTCTACATTGAGAACGACCATACTCCAAATGAAAAGACTGCAGAGTATATTAGAAAATGGAAAGATAGCCCTTGTTCTTGGATAGGAAGAAACAATACAGTGAAAAATGGCCATACTTCCAAAATTGTTATACAGATTCAATGCAATCCCAATCAAAATCCCAACAGCACATCTCACAGAATTAGGGAAAAAAATCCTAAAATTCATTTGGAACCAGAAGAGACCTAGAATAGCAGCAGTGACTCTGGGCAACAATGGCAAACAGGAGTTATCACAAACCCTGACTTTAAATTATACTACAAAGCTGTGATAAAAACAGCATGGTACTAGCACAAGAACAGACCTGAGGATTAATGGAACAGACTAGAAGATGTAGAAACAACTCCAAACACAGCCACCTTATCTTTGACAAAGCAGCCAAACTCCTTCACTGAAAGAAAGACAGCCTCTAACAAATGGTGCTGGAACATATTTAGCTACCTCATCTTTGACAAAGGAGTCAATCATCCTCACTGGAGGAAAGACAGCTTCTTTAACAGAAGGTGCTGGAAAAACTGGATTTCAATCTGCCAAAGATTAAAACTACACTCCTATCTTTCACCATGTACTAGACTAAAATCTAAGAGAATTAAAGATCTAAACATCAAAACAGAAACACTAAACTTGCTGGAAGATAAGTTAGGTAGAACTCTCAAAGACACTGGCACGCGAAAAGACTTTATGAACAAATCTTCAGTAGCACAGAAACTAGCACAAAGAATCAACAAGTGGGATAGCATCTTATTAAAAAGCTTCTGGGGCCAGGGATTTAGTTCAGTGGTTCCACCACCTGCCACGGCAAGTGCAAGGTCCAGAGTTCGATCCCCAGTACCCAAAAAAAAAAAAAAAGATTAGGAAGCTAAACTATACAAAGTCTTTGTAAATAGGGAGGGATGGAGGGGTTTAAGGGAGGACAGGGGAAGGGGAAAAAATAAGAACAAAGAGAGATTATGTAAAGGTGCAAATTTCCAATGAGGAATGTCACTATTTTATATACCTAAAATGTACCAATAACATTAAATTAGAAAAATAAACAAATAAAATAAAAAGCTTCTGCACTGCAAGAGAAACCACCAACAGAGCTAAGAAACAACCTACAATGTGGGAAAAACATTTTACCAGCTGTTCCTCAGACATACAGCAGTAGATATATTCTACTCTCTAGAATATAGAAAGAACTCAAAAAAATCAGACGCCCCAAATATAAAGACCCAATTCAAAAATGGGCATCTAAAATGAACAGACATTTACAAAGAAGTAAAAGCAGCAAACAAACATGAAAAAA